TTGGCATCACTCGACGGGTCCTTCCCGATAGGGTTCCCCAGGAAACGCAACAGATACACAAGCGGCACCTGGGGTGCAACGTGCTATCCGCCACCGTGCGACTTGCACAGAATGGAGCGCCTGGATACCCCCTGGGACTCCCAGTACCATTTGGCGAAGCCTTGGCTCCTGAAAGGATGAGTATGTGGGAAGCACGGGGACAGAAAACGTTCGTATTTTGCGAGGGCGCGAGAACGTTTGCATCGCGTCTCGGAGCTTTCTGGGCGTTAAGATTTTGACGCGTACACGTCGAATCTAATCAAACAAAGCAGACGGGAAAAAACATGTGGCCTGCGAGTGCCTTCTTGGGGACCCTCCTGGGGCTCTTTTGGGCCGTCTTTGGGCCCTCCTTGGACCGTCCTAGGGCCCTGTGGGCCGTCTGGGATGGCGTGGGCCGTCCTGGCGCCATCTTGGGGCTTTGTGGGGTTCTCTTTGGGACCTCCTGTAGCCCTCGTGGGGCTCTCTCGGGAGCCTCTTGAGACCTTTAGGGGCTTTCTTGAGGGCCTCTTGGAACTCTCTTGAACCGCCCTGGGCCGCCTCCAGCCGTCTTTGAGCCGTCTTGGGCCCCCTTGGACCCGACTGAAGTCAGATCTCTTGCGCAAAATGTAACGCTTCCCAAACAATTACCCTTGAGGCGCAGTGCTCGCGCAATCAGTCCTAACCCACGGTGTGCCCCCATGTACCCAGGCCTCCTTCGGATGCGCCTAGCCCATGACCAAAGCGCGGCGGCGGGATGGGCTGGAGGCCGCTAGATAGACGCAGCTCGCGAGATGGAGGTTTGAAGGGCAAGGCGCAGCATGACACGAACACGTTTAAAAGGTTGTCGGACCAAAACGAGCACGAAACCTAAGAACTCTGTGATTTCGGAGCTGCGGCTACGGCTCGCTGGGTTTACGCAGGCGCCTTGTTATGATCGTCGGTTGGAGTGCGTCTGAAAAACTGCGCGGCCAACCCGTGGCCGAGAAGGATCGTCAAGGCCCCCGCATCCACGCCGCCGCCTGCCACCACGATCCGTCGAGGTGGAATAGCGGCCTCCCCAATCGCAGCCTCTGGTCCGTAGGTGAAAAAAGCGCCGTCGTGCGCGAGATACCTGTCAAAGAACGTTTCCATGATAAGTCTGGAGTTCTCGGCCTCCTGTGGCTCGCTCTTCCCCTTGCTGACCAATGACTTTACGAGAAACCAAAGCATGAGAGTCGTGGAAAGCTTGGTGTCGTCGCTGCTTTGAGTGAGGTCGAGAGCCCTCACCTTGCCCTCACCACCACATCGTATGTCATTCCTCGCAGAAGCTAACAATGAACGGGTGCTCGGCATGCAGCTCGATGCATCGAGGCCGAGCTGCAACGCGATCCTCTTGCATGCTTCGACTCTTTTTTTCAATAATGGCCAACTGTACCTCCCCAGCATTGCCAGGACCAGGCAGGGCAGAGACCAAAACATGAAACAACCAGCGACTGGCAGAGTGTAGAGCCAAACCTGAATGTGGATGGTCTTGTTTGTGCCTCTGGTATGTTCAAAACCTGATGACGAAGACTCCTCGGAAAGTTTTTTGCACCACACGGCGGCGCCATCTTCTTTCTTCACGAAAGGTTTGCCTGAGTCGGTTTTGTGATAGGTCCGAGTGAAAATATTATTTGCCCACACAACGAAAGAAACACCGTCGGATGCCATCTCGCCCACTCGGTCGTTCCTACGGTGCGGCAGCGTCAAGTAAGCGAAACCATCACCTGAGAAGGCAAGTGCACAATCTGGGCCCATGTCGTCAGGTAGCCTGACGATCTCACCAGTCCCCGTGTGCTCCAAGCATTGCCCGGAAGCGCCGCCGACAGTCAGGCGAACGAGGCCCACGTGAGGGACCTCCATGCTAAGAGGTCCGAGTGGGGGGGGATGGCGCAGGCTGCTCTCAGCGTCACTTGAATTTGGATTCGAGCCAGAGTGGTTGGGGTGTGGATTGCGAATGTCTGTTTGACGGGGTGCTTTCATCTGCGGCCCTACTATATCTCCCCGTGCTCCTTCTGTTCCCCCTACCCCGCGCCCCTCGATCGCGGCCCACGGGAGAACGCCACAGGCACCTCAAAGGCGCCTCGGACGGCGGCCGATCGACCGAGGCAGCTCTGAAGTGACCTGCGGCAGAAGAGAACGCACCAACCGCGGAATTCGACTTCGGCATGCTTTGTGCACAACGCCTCCGGGGACGGAGGGCTCGGAGGGACGCTCCGGGAAGGGGAAACCAGGGGTCACCTGAGAAACAAATTTGGCCCAACTCTCGTCTTCAAGTGACCCCCTCTGGAAGCCACGGACTGACGGGGCGAAGCCCAAGACCAGCCCAGGGCCACCGCGCAGTCCCGGCAAGATGAACATATCAAGCCGCAGCGTGTTAACATAATGTGCGCCCCAGGTTCCGCCAGTGCTTAGGAGAACAATGCCTGTTAACATAATGTTTGCCCCTAGGTTGTTAACATTATGTTTGCCCCTACTTCCCGCCAGGAGAACAGTGCGTGTTAAAATAATGTTTGCCCCTAGGTCCCGCCAGTGCTTAGGAGAACAGTGCTCAGGCCGCAGCGTGTTAACATAATGTTTGCCCCTAGGGGTCGGTGGAGCCGCTTCTTCCTGGCCCTCTTAGAGCCCTTTTGGGGCTCCAAGAGGGCTCCGCTCTTTTTGCGCTTGCAGCGTTTCTTCGTGCGCGGGGCGGGCATGGGAGGTTCTTGCCTCCGCTTTCCTTTTACTTTTCTCTTTCGCGCTGTGGTCTGGCGTCAGTGGCCCCCCTTCCCGCTCCCTCTCCCCTCTCCTCCCCCTCCCTGATGAAGAATGGCTGCTGTCTCCAACTAGTGGCTGCGGTAGTGGCACGCCTGCGGTAGCGTTTCTTTCGAAATTCATGTTGCATTCGCGCGCGAGGCGGTGGAAGAGTCCACGGCGCCGTGCGCGCGCAGCTTTAAAGCTGCCTTGAGGGTCGGTCTTGGCGGCTGTCTCCAACTAGTGGCTGCTGCAGTTGCACTCCTGCTGTAGCGTTCCTTTCCAAATTGACGGAGGCAAACCTGGCACGGCGCCATGGCAGAGGGAAGGTCGGGAGTGCAACTGGTGTAGAGAAACACTAGGACGGCACCCCACCCTTGGCAGGGCTCCTGGTCGGGGGCCTTCGGTGACCTGGTCCGCTTGAGGGTTAAAACTGAGGCCTCAGTTTTAACCCTCGGAAGTGGCAACTTGAGCCTTGAGCCACTTGAGCCAGCATGCACTTGAGCCAGTTTGTGGGTTTATTCGTGCACAAAACAAGCCTCCGGCATTTCTTCCTTCTCCTTGTTAGAACTACAGCGGCGACGCGGGTTCTAACCAGAGGGGCGGGGCATCATAGCAGGACGTAGCGGATAACCAGGATGAGACGGGGCCCACTTGGAAGAGGAGGAGGATGGAGGAGGAGGAGGAGGAGGATGGAGGAGGAGGAGGAGGAGGAGGAGGGGAGGAGGAGGAAGGGGATCAGCACGCGCACCAGGCAATTGCGGCGAGGGGGGCGATTAGCAGAGCTACTTGGCGGCCCTCTTGGGGCCCTCCTGGAGATTCATGGGAGGGTCCACGGAGCCCCCAGAAGGCTTCAAAAAGGGGCCCAAGAGATATTCAGATGGCCATGGACATCTGAATATTTTTTTCGGCCGTCTTGGAGCCCTCTGGGGGCCCCCTTGGAGCCACTTGGCGGCCCTCTTGGGCCGCTCCTGGAGCCTCTTGGGAGGGCCCACCGAGCCTCCGGAGGGCCTCAAAAAAGCGCCCGAGAGATATTCAGATGGCCATGGACATCTGAATATCTTTTTCGGCCGTCTTGGAGCCCTCTGGCGGCCTGCTTGGGGCCACTTGGCGGCCCTCTTGGGGCGCTCCTGGAGCCTCTTGGGAGGGCCCACCGCGCCCCCGGAGGGCCCCAAAAAGGGGCCCAAGAGATATTCAGATGGCCATGGCCATCTGAATATCTTTTTCGGCCGTCGTGGAACACTCTAGGGGCCCCCTTGGAGCCACTTTGCGGCCCTCTTGTTGCTCTCCTTGAGGTTTTTGGGAGGGCGCAGAATGCATTCTGGAGCCCTCCAGGCGCCACGCGCAGAATGCATTGTAAAAATACAATGCGAAACGCCAAACATAAAGTGGGGGAGAAATGTACCACGTTGGGCAAACATCTTCCCACCTCAATGTTGGCGTTTCGTATTGTGTTTTGCAACATTTTCTGCGTGTGCTCAGCCCCAGGAGCCAATATCGATGACATAACGGGTGCGCGGGCGGCGGGGAGGGGGAGCGACGTAGGGAGGGGGAGACGTCCCTCCTTGGCTCGGCTCGGCTTTCTCCATCTTTGCTCCCACACTTCCCTGGGCACCTCAACTCGCCTGGGCGTCGTTTCTGGATGGGCTGGTGGGGATAGGCGAAGCGTCAACAATTCCCACCCCCCGCTCCTCTCCCTCACGCGCATCTCCCCCCAGCCCACCTCCCCGTCGTCCTGGCACCGCCGCGCAATACACAGGCCCCCGTCGCCTCCCAGTTTGCTGCCCCGCTCGCCCTCGGGCCGCCCCCCGTGGCCCCCCCCCCCGGGAATGAAAGGGGCGGCACTCGAAAAGTTTCGGTCGCTTGCGAATTCGATGCGGCGACGCGCAGACGGAGGTAAAAGTTTACAGAAAGAGGGGTGGGGGGGAGGAGCGAGAGGAAGGAAAAAAAACACCCCTCTGAATAGGAATTGCACACCAGGGCTTCTCGAAAAGGATCATTTGGGCACCATCCCTGCGCAAGAGGAGCAAGATGAGTCACCTGCCCCCTGGATACACGGACGGGCTTGACCAGCAGGCGGACAGACGCGCACAACTTGGGTCTACAGCTCACGAGTGGCAATCGCTCAAAAGCGCGCCTGTTATTCCAAGCGCCTGGCATCGTTTGGAATACGCTGCACCCGCCTCTGCAAGGCAGCCGCGCCGCGTGCAATCACCCAGGAACCACACTCATCACTCATCATCCTCTTCCTCTGCGGGCGGAGCCGCCGCGGCGCCTCCGCCAGCGCCGCCAGGCGGCGGAACGGGCGGCGCCGCGGGTGCAGCGGCAGGCGCCGCAGGCGGAGCGGGCGCCGCGGGTGCCGCGCCCTTCGAAACCCCCTTGCCCTTGCCACGTTTGCCTTTGCCGCCCACGGACGCGCGGCGGACGTCGCCAAGCGACGGGTGTGGCGACTCCCCATCCGCCTCGATGGACATGGCAAGCGTGCACGCCGCCTCCGTGAAGAGGACGGGGTACTTCGACTGGAAGCGGGTCTTCAGCTGGAAAGCGTCGCCATTTGGATGCATGATGGTAGCTTGAGAATTCCAGTTATCCTTGAACTTCCACTCGACGTCCTCTGCGGACGGAGGGGGGACCCACATGTAAGGGCTGCCATTGCGCTCGTGCTGCTCCTGCGGCAACGGCCCCATACCAAGAGCGAGCACCTTCGCATTGTCGTCGCTGGCCGTGTAAAAGCCCTTCTTGTCCAAGCTGTCCGTTGGCGACACCGTCTCGATGGGGTTGTTCAGGTTGCGGCAGCGCTGGACCGCCGTCTGCGTCGTCGTTTCCTGTTGCATGTGGAAGAGCCAGCAATCGGGGTGGATGCGAAGCGCCAGGCACATGCGATGAATGTAGTCAGGCAAAGACAGCCTCCGTGCCTTCTTCTCGGCCTCGGTCAGACCGTCAGGGATCTTGTACGTCGGGTTCATCTGCCCCAGAAAGTCCCGGATCCATATCGAGCCCGCCTGCTTCATGTACTTGTAACCCTGGGCAAACGTTGCTGGCCGGACCTCTCCTGTGTCCTGGTGTGCGCGGTCGTATGCTTCCTCAAGTTTGCCCGAGTCGATCAGCCCAATGAGGAATGTGAGCAAGCCTTTCTTGTGCTCAAGTTTCTTGCGAAGGAGCTCCATGTTGTCATCGAACTGAGAGGTCACGATCTTGTCGAAGATTTGGTTCTGCTCAGTCTGGCTCATCTTCCGCTTCTTCGCTGACGACGGTCCCGCATCGGAGCCCGCCGGCTGAGCCATTGTTTGATGTATTGGTGCTCTGTGGGATATCGTGCTGCGTTTCCGTAGCCCCGGACGTGCACCCGAAGCTTGAGCCGAGAATGCCATGAGGGCGTGGGGAGTGGGGGAGGAGAAGTTGAAGGAGAAGTTTCGGGGCGATCGCGACGACAGGGATTAAGCTAAAGGATCTGGCTCGCGGGGCCTGGAGCGGGGCAAGTGAAACCAACTGCTGAGGTTAGATGACATTGCTACCCCACCCGCGGAAACTTGCGGCTGCATCGGTGGATGCGCCACCCAACAGCAACTTTGAGGGGGGGGGGGCCGATCCCTCCACGGCTCGCACAGGGAATTCCAAGGCAACCTCGGATCGACGGGCGGGCCTTACGCAATGGAATGCCGAGATCTTCGAGGGCGCAATTCCAACAGGCGGGAGTGCGAATGCCCGAATGGGCACCTAGTGCGAATTCTGCTGGTCAAACGTCAGGAAGAACCGCTCCCTGCTGAAATTCCGCGAGCGCGCCTTCGGCGCGTCGTGGCGTGTTGAATAGCTCGCTAATTGTCTGGCAGGGTTCCCGTGGGTTCCCCAGCTCACCCCCCCCGCATGGGACCACGAGTATCCAGGAAATATCGCCTGCCTGTTTTGTCTTGAAGAGCCGGTTTGAGCATCCGCGCGGCTGCAAACAGGCCCGACATCGCCCCAAGACAGGCGCCATCTGCGAAAGATCAGCCCCGCACAGCCCACGGACCCCCAAAAGGCTCAGGACCCCCCTACCAGATTCCAGGAGACACACCCATGGCCCGAGCATGTCTTTTTTGGAAGGCTTCCGGCAATGCCAGAAGAGGCCAATAAAAGTACACCATGTCAAAATTGTATCATGCACTGTGTATCCGCAGCAATCCAGCATCGGATCGCCTCGAAAAGTTTTCCGCGAGCCTCGGGGCGTTCACCAGACGGCCGAACATGGCCCGCGGAGGGCCCAGGACAGGCCTCAGACTGCCCGAAAACTGTTCAATGCAATTCAAGAAGTGCCCTAAAGAGGGCTGCGACCCGCGCGCGCGCCCTCACGTGCTCCATGCGATTGAGTCTCTCGGGGAGAGCTCGGAAGAACCAACGTGGTCCAGACACGCGCACCCACTCTCCGACTGCCTGCGACCGTGCCCCTAAAGAGCCCCCACGTGCACCCCCTGAAAAATCTCCGAGAGAGACCCAAGAGGCTCCACAGGAACTCCGAATGAGCTCCAAGAAGCCTTATACGAACGAGTAAAGAATGGAGAACGGGCGCATGCTTCGACTTCCGATTGCAGCTCGTTCGGGGGGGGGACAAAGCAGACGTGCGAGCGCCAACAGAGAACCTCGCACGATGGCATCGCCCTGGGCGAAGTGGTGGCCCAATCCAACTTCCGAGAAGCGTTCGCTCTCAACGAGCAAAGACACACGGGCACTTACGCAGTGCACATGATAACACGCACCCCCGGTTCACTAGGTCTTGTATGATGTGTTTGTTTACCGACGCGCGGGAGCACGCGTGCAAGTCATCGTCTGAAAGAGAAGAGACCGTTCTACTCCTGTTGTTCGTCAACATCAGACCAACCGCCTCCTGAGTTCTACCCCGATATGTCTTCACCGTCCCGCTGTTCCTCCCCATCCGCACCCTTATGCGCCTGCCACCGCCCCTTCTCCTACCTCCGACCTCGTACCTCCCACGCCCCAATTCCCACATCCTACCTATCCCTTCAGAATCCCCTTTCGCCCTCCTCTTCCATGCGCGCCCCCAGGATTTCTCTGGATCCGTCAGGGTTCTCCTAGCAAGCGCTCGGACCCCCACTGATTATCCAGAGGCCCGCGTTCGCAACCTGCAGATCCCCGAGGGTTCTCTAGATCCATCGGGCCACCCGAGCCATATGTCGGAGTTCTACGCGCCCCAATGGACACCCCAGGGCAAAGCCCAACTCCTGACGAGTCCATCGGGGCCCCTGTGCCAGAGCTCGGACCCCGCGGGCCCTTCAGGATTGATTATTTTCGACAAAGGGCAGAACGCAAAAAAGCCCCGCGGGCGATTATCATCCTTTCGGGTGCTTTAAAGCAATGCTTGGGCCCTTGCAAGCCCTGAAAGGATCCTCACAATTACAGCGCGATGCCCTCAATACCCACATCAGTTTTATCCATCCATGACATTTCTCAAAGCCACGGGCGGGGCCCCCGCGAACCCGCTGAAATTCAAGAGGCCAAAGAGCGAACCCAACGGGGCCATAGTGAGGTTCCAAAACAGAGCGCCGATCCTCACGGGTGGATCCACGGGGGCCTCCGGGCCCCGGGATTCTTCTAGACTAGAGTTTAAGCCGCCGCGGACCACTGAGAACCCGACGGGCCCCTCAGGAGCCCCCGCGCCAAAGGTAGGGCCCCCGCGGATCGGCTGGGATTTCCTTTGCCAGAATTCACCCACCCACGGACGTCAAACGAATCTCTACACAAGATTTCGGCCCCCCGCGGACCCCGAGAGACTCTCGAGGGCAAGGATCATGCCCCGACAGCCCTTAGGGCCATCCGTAAGCCACAACACAACTCGGACCCCCGCGGCTCCCAACGGATTCCCTAAAAGCTATAAATCACGGCTTCATGAGGTCCTGCGGGTTTTGCTGGGCCAGAGCACGGAACCTCGCGGTTCCCGATAGTTTTCTCTGAGCCAGAGCTTGGCATCCCGCGGATACCAAGGGATTCTCTGAGTCAGAGCTCGGGCCCCCGCAGACCTCGGGCGGTTCTGGGTCAGAGCTCGGACCGCTGCGGGCCCCTGGAGATTCTACCCGCCAGAACCGCTTTCCCGCAGATCTCGGCGGGTTCTAGGCCCGCGCGAACCCCCCCCCCCATGGATCACAAGGGACTTTATGGAGCCGCTCGGGCCCCGCGGGCGACAGTTCGGGCCCGTGCGGACATCCATTGGCTTTCTGGCCCAGAACTTGGGCCTCCCCTGACCCCGAAGGTTCCCTTGACCTTCTGCAAGTTCCCCATGCATCAGCGTTGCCCTCCAAGGACCCAGATGTGTCCTGAGCCCGAACGGAGGGGCCCTTGGGCTCACGGGAAGTCTCGAGGCTCGAGCTCGGCCCCCCGCGGATGCTTCGAGGTTCTCTGCGCCAGAGCTCGGCGCCCTTCGAATCCCAGGGAACCCTTCGTGCCAGGGCTAAAATCCCCGCGGAACCCCACGGGTTCTTTAGGTCAGAGCGCGGGCTCGCGCGGACCCCGCTGGTTGCTTCGCGCCAGAGGTTGGCCCCCCGCAGATGCCAAGATGTCCCATGCGCCAGAGCGCAGGCCCCCGCGGTCACCCAACGGCTCTCTAGGCACGAGTTCAGGCCCCACCGATCTCCGAGGATCCCCCTTGTCCCGACCGTTCTCTAGGGCGTGTTCAGCAGGGGCGCCAGCGCGCGCCCGACCGTTGGTTCCTGGGCCGAGCTTGGGCACTGCGCACCCCGCAAAGGGCATCAGTTCTCCCCCGCAGACGCGACTGCACGCGCCCGCTGTCATCCCGCTGCCCCGAACACCGCGCCGTCGCGCGACAAGCGAGGCATCGCTGACAATTCTAACGGGCGTGTTCGCGCGCGCACAAGAGTTGCCACCCTAATTGAAATTGCGATGAGGGTTGGTGGCGACGTCATTTCTCACGAGCAAGGACCAAGCGCGCATGCGCAACAGCTCCCGCACCCTTCCTGCTGCGATCATCGGATACCTGAGTTTTGCGGCTTTCCATAGGACCCATGCGTGCATAGGACCCTTTCTGCTTTCCCTGATTCAAGAAGCTCGGGAAGCGAGGAGGCCACTACTCATGCTCTCGGACCAGATCGTCGCCGACCGGGTGAAGCGCGGGATGCACATCTTGATGGAGCAGCCCCTCGGGTCGAGTGCCTACTTCGAGCCCGAGATGGCGAAGACGCAGGAGCTGGTGAAGAAGGGCCTCCTACTGGAGTGTACTCCGCACGGGTGCCAGCTCGGCTACGCCGATGAAGAGACCAAGGACGCGCACTACAAGCCGATGAGGTTCTTGACCACCAGCGTGGCGATCTATGAAGCCTTGCAGGGCGAGAAGTGCACGAGGGACCACTACCACCTGCCGTTGGAGAACCAGAAGAAGACAAGAGCGGCGGCAAAGTGGCCCGACAAGCTGGACATGCTGGCACTACACACCATCGAGCAGCATATCGACCTCGACGTCGACACTCACGTATCACAAGGTCTCGGTGTACTTGACAGTTTCCCAGTCGAGAGCCAGCCTGATGCCAAGAAGAGAAGGTTGCGTGGCAAGCAACCCCCGAAGCGTCCTCCAGCTGAGGACGGGAGTCAGGGCTTCCGTGAACCCGGACGTCCACCTGAGGACGGGCCTGCTACGGATCCTGACGGAGTTCGTGCTGAGCAAGCCGCAGGCCTCGAGCCAGTCCTCTCCAAGGAGGAGCAGGAGCGCAGAGCGAGGTGGCTCACCTACGACCCCGCGGTCAGGCGCGACATCAGGAATCTGCGCGTCAATTTCGGCCACCCGACCAACGTGACCCTGGTGAGGTGCTTGAGGAGGTCAGGTGCCAAGAAGGAGTTCCTGGACTGCGTGTGGGACTTCAGGTGTGACGCCTGCGGCGACATGATCAGGACGAAGCACGTGCGCCCGGTCCCCATGCCGGGTCGCTACCAGTTCAGCTTCCACGTGATGCTGGACACGCTGTTCGCACACGACGCCGAGGGTAACACCCACGCCTTCCTGAACATAGTCTGCGACGGTACGAGGTTCCAGGTTGTTTGGTATCTCCACAAGGGTACGTACGCGCCCTCTGCTAAGGTCGCGTTAGACACGTTCCTGACGGTGTGGGCTAGCTGGGCTGGACTGCCCCAGTCCATCTTCGTGGACCGCGGCAAGGAGTTCGCTAAGGAGTTCCTGGCCCACATGCATGAGAACGGCGTGGAGATCCAGAATGCGGCCCTGGAGGCGCACGAGCAGCTCGGCAGGATCGAGAGGCTAGGTGGCGTCTGGAAGGAGGTGTGGCATCGCGCGGTGCAGGACGCCCAGATCACGAAGGAGAAGGACCTGAGGAGCGTGTGCGGCGTCGTCAACCAGGTGCGCAACGAGACGGCG